ACCAACAAATAAGCATAACTAACATTCATACTTTATTAAACTTAGTTAATGTTGGAGAAGACTGTCCTATTTTTGAAGGGTTATTTGAATTCTGTTCTATTTCTGCTGGTGGATCAATTGGTAATTTATAATCATTATTTAAAACGCAACGTGTTAGAAACTCTATTAAAAAATTTTTTCTTTTTTGGTTTAACTATAAAAATAAATAGACGCCGCCAATAAATTGACCAGTGGTGAATCAGACATAGCGATAAACTGGTCTGGAGGTCTTCATCACGCTAAAAGGTTTGAAGCATCTGGATTCTGCTACGTGAATGATATCGTGTTAGCTATTTTAGAGCTTTTAAGGTAAAATTTCTAATCTTTATTATGATATCAATTACCCAAATATTTTACTTCATGTATATTAACTTCTATCAACATTTTAATGTTATCAAGATTTTATCAACGCGTCCTTTATATTGATATTGATATACATCATGGTGATGGTGTAGAAGAAGCTTTTTACACCACTGACCGAGTTTTGACTTGTTCATTCCACAAATTTGGACAGTTTTTCCCTGGTACCGGTGATGTCTCGGTACGAACACGTTATTGAAATAGTTCCATTTTAATTTACTACTTAAATGATTATGTTATTAATAGGATATCGGTATTGGTGCAGGGAAGCATTATGCAGTGAATTTCCCATTAAAGGATGGCATGGATGACTGGAATTATCAAAATGTTTTTCGCCCGGTATACAATTTTTTACAAGTATCAAGTTTAGGAGTGATTTTAATTTTTTTTTGTGGCGCGTTTTCATTTTCCTATCATATGTACATTTACGTGAAAATAGGTAGTACAGCATATAATTGAGTGGTATCGACCTGGTGCAATAGTTTTGCAATGTGGTGCTGACTCGCTCGCTGGTGATCGATTGGGCTGTTTCAATCTTTCCATGAAAGGACATGCAGCTTGTGTCGACTTCGTAAAGGATTTTAATATTCCGCTTTTGGTTGTAGGTGGGGGTGGATACACAATCCGTAACGTGGCCCGTGCTTGGACGTATGAAACTGGTTTATTACTTGGGGAACAGCTTAACGAAGGTAATAAATCATTCTTATCATCACAATTTTACATTGAGTTCA